CGCAGTTACTCCTGTGTGGGACATACTGCAGGTGCCTGCGAACTTAGCTCAATAAACTCCTTTTGTTAAACCCCATTTCGGCGTCTGAGTTTGGTCGATCTCCTGGGTTACAGCACTCCCTTCATGCTATGTTTTTCTCTGTTGCCTGTACTCTGTAAAAGCTTGTGCTGGGAAAGCCGGCCACCCCCAGTGAGAGGGATTCAGCAGTTCAGCTTCACCGGAGGCAGCCCGTGGGCGCAGCAGGAAAGGGCGATCCACCTGGCTCACGGAGACTAATAAACCCCTGTCCTTCACAGCAGTTCTCCCAGTTATTTCTTCATAATCCAAAACAGTGCACAGAGGTCTTCTGAGACCTCAGCACCTGGCATAACAATACATAATCCTAATGTATATACCCACTTGGTCTTACTTGGCCAAGAATTAGCCCCTGAGGGACTTGCAAACTTCTTTTCCCCACGATAAAGGTATAGAATGACTCTACTAAGAAGCTTGTCTCCATAAGGCTCCGTGGGGTGAGGTGGAGGACTGGAGGGTGGCATCAGCTCTGGCGGGGGCACTGGGAGCCAGCAGACAGCAGAGGGACTTGAACCCAACAACCTATTCACAAGGTCTTACTGTAAGATTTCTCACCGAGTAAGAAAGAGAAACAGAACCACAAAAGTGGGCAAGAAAGTTTTATTGGAGCAGTCCAGGCAAGGTTCGCTGGTCCGGGTTTCGGGTCAGGGAAGTCGCACTGTTCTGTCCACCCAGGAAAGTTTTATAGGGGAGGTTGAAGAACAAAGAGAGGAGGGACTTGATTGGTCGAGGGGTAAGGGGTGAGTCTGCACAACAAAGAGAGGAGGTATTTGATTGGTGGTTCCAATTCCTCCCGCAGTCTCTTTCCCCAAAGTCAGGTGATTCCTCCGAGCCCACCGACTTCACATTCCGACCTTTTGTGTTAGGTGTGGGCACCATTTCTGTCTGGCTACTTCCTGCTGGGTAGGGATGTGTGGGGAGGGAAGGTCAGCGGTGGGCGGCTCAGTAGGGAGGCGCATGTAGGGGTGAAGTAGCATCCGGCCACAGCGTTAATGAATGTACTGTCAAAATAAGAACATTTGTTTGAACTCTGTAAAAACAAGTAAAGCCCTGGCCAGTTTGGCTCAGCGGTTAGAGCGTCGGCCTGCGGTCCGGAGAGACCCGGGTTCGGTTCCCGCTAAGGGCACGTACTTCGGTTGCAGTTTGTTCCCGGCCCTGGTTGGTCGTGCGGGTGGCAGCCACTCGATGTGTCCCTTCACATCGATGTTTCTCTCTCTCTCTCCCTTCCTCTCTCTCCCTCCAACTCCATCTGTACAAAAAATGGAAAAATATCCTCGGGTGAGGATAAAAAAAAAAAAAAAGTAAAAAGCTTGGCCACGTGGCTTGGTTGGTTGGAGCATTGACTGGTACACAGGAAGGGTGTGACTTTGATCCCAGGTCAGGCGCTTTTGGGGAGACAACCAATGGGCGTTTCCTGGTCATACAGATGTTTCTGTCATGCCCCTTCTGTGTCTCTGAAATTGTTGAAGATTAAAGCAGAAAAACATATAGATAGGCAAAGCTGGGAAAGAGCATGAAGAAATGTAATGTGAGCTGCTAGAAAAATTATTTTCCTTAGTTTTAATTACATTAATGATTAGATGAAATAGTAACAACATTCTTTAAAAAAAAAAAAAAAAGGTCTTTATTGATTTTCTGGAGAGGAAGGTAGAGAGAGAGAAACACTGATCGTCTGTCTCCCACACGCGCCCCCCCCCACCACCACCACCACCAGGAACCGAGCCTGCCACCTGGGCTTGTGCTCTGACCGGGAATCGAACCAGGACCTCTCAGTTGGGACAATGCCCAATCCAGTGAGCCACCCCAGTGGGGCAGTAACAGCATTCGTAGTATTTAAAATGAGTTCAGGGTCTGGAGGATTGGTGTTCTAGGAATCAGAAGTGTTATGTCAATGAAACTGTGTCTCCTATAGAAACTCACAATATGGCAAATGTTACAATTTCAAAGAGGGACATTTTAGAGGATGAATTCTGGCAACTGAAAGACCAAGATGATTCTTAGTTTCATTATAGAACAGTTTTAAAAGAGTGATTTATGATCCATGAAAAGGAATCATATTCAGATGCCTGCAGTGAGGCCTGTGTGTCTCTCCCCCCCCCCCCCCCCCGTCCCTTTCTCTCTTTGAAGTCAATAAAAACATTACAAAAAAGGTGCAAAGTAGAAAAGCAGCCACTTTGAGGTAAACAATTAGAGGAGTTTTTATTCTCTTCAGACTGACAGGAGACCAGGCTGGGAGAGGAAAGAGAAGCTTCTGGTGCTGTCACCACAGTGGAGCTTATTTTTAAATTATGTCATGTTTTTTCTCTAGTACTTTTGCCCTAAAATGAAAATGGCCTTGTTTTATGCAGCTTATTTAATACAGATAAATTTATTCAAAATTCTATCCCACGGGGGTGGGGGTGGGGGTGGGGACTACCACAATTTAAAGAACAAAGCTTTGCATCTCTACATGCACATTTCTGTTCTACTTATTAGATACCATGTACTATTTTAGGTTCTTAATACTGATGCAAAACCTTTGGATTTTCCTTTTCTAATATGTGCATTTAAGGGTGTACATGTTTTCATAAGTTTTGGAATGTAATATAATTTATATTGATTTTTAGTGAGAGAAGGGAGGAGAAACAGAAACATCCACGGGCTGCCTCCTACACACCCCCATAGAGGATCGATCCTGAAATCTGGGCATGTGCACTGACTGTTGATCTCGTGGTGCACAGGGGAGTGCTCACCCACTGAGCCCCACAGCTGGGTGGTAGGTAGTACTTTTCATTACCATCAAGTTGGAATTGTTTTCTAGCTCCAATGGAGGTTTGTTTTTGTTATTTAGAAGTGTATTTCATAACTTTTAAATATAAGACGTTTCTAGTTACCTTTCATTCATGGTTTTCAGGCTAACTGCAATGACAAGAAACATACTTGATATAATTTCAAGCCTTTGTATTTTGTTGAAACTTGCTTTTGAATACAACGTGGTCACTCAAGAGTGTCCCAAGTGTGTGCTCTGCCATTACCTTGTGTGCATCCTGGGAATGACAACTCAGTGTGTGCCTTAGTGCACAGGGATGCCGTATTTAGGAACACTGACTGCAATCCGCTGCTCATGTTCAGTTTTTATACCATTACTAATTTTTTTTAGTCTATTGTATACAAGAGATGCGATCTGTCCCTGAATGAGGTGTGTCAATATGATCAATTTATTCTTCTTGCAGCTGTTGTATATTTCAGTTGCTGTTACAAAATGCATAGACATTTGGAGCTTCCCAGTACAGTAAAATTATACATAGGATGTATTCATTACTAATACTGCTTTTTGTTTTCAAGTCTATTGCATGTTATTCTATAATTTTAATTAGGTTTATGTTTGCATAAGAAAGGTTTATGTTTGCATAGTCAGGTAAGAGATGGGGCCCAGAGCACATCAGATGAGCAGGTGTCCTTGAGGTGAGCGAGTCTGAGGAGCAGGTACAGCCAGTCTGTGATGTGAGGACCAGAAGAGGGCTTCCAGACTGTGTGTGGGGTACAAGTCTCAAGTGCCTGTTTAACTGAGCAATTACTCTAGACCACCTTTCCTCAGCACATCCTCAAGACTGGATAACACATTTAGGGGTGCACCACTTCTGGTCCAAGTATCACGAGCTGCGCGGCTAGTCGAGCCAGACCTGAGGAGGGGCGCCAGAAGACTAAAAAAGACAGACATCATAGAGAGAAAAGCTGGGGCCAGGTGGGACACTGCGCCCTGATAGAGAAACAGTGACCCCAGCTAGCTCAGCAAGTTTATTATATAGCCAATTGGGGGGGAGGGGTGCTAAAAGTTTTGTCTTCAAACCCAAGATGTTTCTCATTGGCCTCTGAAGTCAGGTGAGAACTGTTGACACATTCTTGCCTGGCTCATTAGGCTCCTGCGTGGCTTTGCCAGCACACGGACTTACGAGAACCCTTGGGCAGGATGCTTCTGTGTGAGCCTTTCCAGCATGCAGGGTCAACAGAATGCCAGGGACCAAAAGCTCCTGGGTGAGCTGTGCAAACACCACAGGAATAAGAGACCTTGGCTCAGCCGCCCTCCACCCACCTCCACCCACCCCATTTACAGATGGGTGAACTGAGGCCGGGGAAGGAGGTGTGACCAGGCTGCGGTGACCCAACACAGAAGCCCCGGAGGAAACCACAAAACCACTGTGTCCTCATTAGAAAAACCATATAATGGACAGGGCAGCAAAATGGTAGCCAAGAGGGCAGGCAGGACAATCTCATCTCTGGTCTTAAAGTGCTTTCCCCACGTGTTGTGCTTCCCAAAGTCCGACCCGCCACAGGGCCTTTCTGGGAAGCTCACTCAGCAGCACTACACAGCACTCACCTTTGTGTGTCTCTCCCCCAGACAGGGCAGTTACTTTCTTAAAGCTGTTTATTCTCCCAGATGCCTAGACCTTGAAGCAGGATTAAGTTGGTTACTTCAGGAGCAGCAAGAACAAGCAAGATGGGAACAGGGGAGTGGACCCCATCAGAGAGGCAGTCAGGAACCTAAAAATGTGGGGGCCTCATCCCCCAGCTTCACATCGTATCCTGGGCACAATAAAGTGACTGGTGAGAGAGATAGTACCCAATGTGCATTACTCTGGCTGTAGACAGGAGTGTCAGGGCACTAACCCTGGAGGCTCAAACACCAGTCGGGGTAAGAGTTGAGGGGTAGGGACTGGGGGGTGGGTGGAGGAATTGAGCACAAAAGAGAAAATAGTCTTGCACACAGACTAGTGTGGTGACTGCCAGGGGGAGGGGGGAGTGGGGAGGGAGGGATGTGGATAGGATGCGGGGATAAATGGTGATGAACGGAGACTTTACTTTGGGTGGTGAACACACAATACAGTGTACAGATGTGTTGTAGAATTGTGCATCTAAAGTCTGTATGCATCGCTATGCTAACCAGTGTCTCCCATATAAACTCAATAAAATTTTTAGTAAACAAAGAGAGGTAGGGCCAGGATCAGAGGGTCAAGCAGTGAAGTAAGACAAAGCATAGGATACCAGAGATTTATTCTGCAGACGGAGCTCACATGCCAGTGAAGTACTGAACATGTGTTAGAGAAAGAGCAGTCAAGGATGACCCAGGTTCTGACCTCATCGACCGGGTGGGCAGTAGTGCCGTTCACTGAAAAGCAGAAAACAAACGGACACTATGGGGCTAACTGAATATTTTGGACAAGTTTGAAATGCCTATGAAACATCAAAGCAGAGATGTTGAGTAGGCAGGTGGGCTCCAGATACCTATCTAGTCTGGAATGCAAGTTTGGGAGATGACAGCAAAGACAGAATCAAACTCACTGAAGACTGAGATACCTGCAAAACCCAATTCCGCACAGCACAAGCCCTGGGACTGCCTGCAGTAGTCAACATTTAGAGAGGTCATCTAAGAACAAAGGCTGGCCTGCTGAGGGCCAGGCTGGTCCCTGAGGATGCTCAGAATGAAGGCAACACAAAGGACTGAACACTGGGATGAAGGCCTGGACTCCACAGTGCCAGGCGTCTGCTCATCTGTACTTCGTCAAACACAGGCAATTGACAGACATTCTCACTCATCCCTTTTTTGTTGTTGTTAATCCTTACCCAAGGATATTTTTCCATTGATTTTTAGATAGAGTAGAAGGAAGGGAGGGAGGGAGCGAGGAAGAGAGAGACATCAATGTAAGAGAGACACATTGATTGGCTGCCTCCCGCAAGGCCCCAGTCAGGGTGAGGGATTGGACCTGCAACCCAAGTACATGACTGGGAATCAAACCTGCAACCCTTCAGTCCAAGAGCCAGCACTATAATCACTGAGCCAAACTAGCCAGGGCTCACTCATCCATTTTTATTTTATTATTAGTTTCCTTTTTGTTGTTTTTTATTATTATGTTTGTTTTTACTCATCCATTTGTATAAGAGTTTCAGTAGGGCAATGTGACAGAACGACAGAAAGCCCCGTCCTGTGCCCTTCCATAAATGAGCACCAATATGAGACTAAGCAGCTTCCCCACTCATTCTCAGGCACTTGTGGTAACCCTGAAAACTGAGCAAGATGCTGTCCCTGACACATGCTATCACTTCAGATTACTGCAGAAACCTTTCTAAACAGACCTCCCTCTTCTAGCAACAGGAACCATTCATCTGAAAACCTACCAATGTTGGGACAGTACTCAATATGCTAGTCTCACATCTGCCCAAGAGCCACTGCAGCAGGTTAACTGACCAGCCAGGGACAGACCAACCCCACATCCATCCAACAGAGCATTCCTGGAGAGGCTCTGCACTCAAGACAAACCCCACACACCCTGGGAAGGGGGAGAATTGCGGGATGAGGGGACAGGCTAAAAGAAATTGAACCTAAACTCTTCATCAGTAGCGTCCAGAGTTGCCTTGGTTCCCCTTGCCAGGCGGGGCCTGCAGACCCTTCCGCTCTTCTTTCTGATGGCCTCACCTACAGGCTGCACCTGGGCAGAGTGGGCTGCTGTGGGGGAGGAGAGAGAGTGTCAGAACTGAGTAATAATAGCTACCCTTAACTGTGCCCATACAACCCTACCTACGTTACATAAATTAAGGGATATACTTCTCAAAATGATAAGGAAAGTATTATCACCACCCCATTTTAGAATCACAGAGAAATTCACTGATTCTCCCATTCTTTTCTCCCCCTCACAGGCCTGAGTTCTGTGCTCTGGAGGCCCAGGCTTTCTCTATCCCCATTCCCTTCTGCTTTCCCTCGCCGGCTCTGCTGCTCTGGGGTTCTTCCTTTTCCTCCCTAGGCTTTTAGTCCTGAATCAACCAGTTCCCAGCTCCTCACCAGTCTTGAGAGCCCGCAGGACTTCTCGCCACTCGGCTTCCATCTGAGCCCTGTAATCCCCAAACAATGAGCGCATCAGCTGCCTCTTCCGGGGCAGAGGGGTTCTTTGGTTGCGCAGGGCTCGGATTGCCCCAATAGCCTGCTCTTCTGCAGATAAAAATTAAGTGCTAAAGACCTCCTCTGTTCTTACCTCCTGCACAAAAGCAAGCCCATCCCTTGGCAGGACTGTCAAGGTTCACCTCCACCCAACTCTACAGAGAGATCTCTCACTCTGTTTTGGACTGGGTCTCTGCATCCTGAGGCCCAGTTCCAGCTGCTCCACGCACCAGGCCAGTTCCCGAGCCAGCTGCTCCGCCTGAGATAGATGGGAGACAGTGGCTGTGAGAGAGACTACGAGGGCCCTGCGGCCTCCACCCCCTCCCTGCCCTAACTCCGCAAATCCGAGACCACAGACGCTAGCGGACTTCCCCGTCCCCACTGAGGACGGTCCTTGCCTGGGCCTCCGCACTTAGAGGGGCTTCCTCTGGGGCCGGCTTTTCGGAGGCCTTCCCGCCTCCAGTAGACACAGAGGCCCCGTTACGGCTTTTCTTCTTCTTTTGCTTCCTAGAGGCTGCACCGCCTCCGGGACACGCCCTGCAAGCGGCGTCACCGCGCGTGGGGTGCTCTGAACGGGGACTGACGGGATGAGACGGGACAGTGGAAGGGCTCGGGGCGCCGGGAGGCGGTCCAGGGAGCCAGGGGCTGCTTGGCGCGCGGGCGGGACCTGGGCCTGGGGCCGCCGGAGTCTCCCGAGCGGGATGTCCTAGGGCCTGGAGAAAGCGGGGCAGCAAGAGGGTCACGGGGGAGAGCCGACGGCCGAGGCCCCGCCACCCGCCTCCCGCCACCCGCCTCCCGCCACCCGCCTCCCGTGCACCCTCTAGGTACTGCTCACCGCCATGCGCCGCAGTAGCAGCCGGAACTACGTAGAGTGTGGAGAGTGTGGCGTAGTTCGCTTCTCCGGAAACGCGTCTTCGGCGCATCCGGCAAGGTGGGCGGGACCCGCAGTGCGCGGGGACCCGCAGTGCGCGGGCCGCAGTGCGCGGGGACCCGCAGTGCGCGGGGACCCGCAGTGCGCCGGGACCCGCAGTGCGCCGGGACCCGCAGTGCGCCGGGACCCGCAGTGAGTGGGCGGCACCCGCAGTGGGCCGGACCGCAGTGGGCCTGGACCCGCAGTGAGTGGGCGGCACCCGCAGTGGGCCGGGACCCGCAGTGAGTGGGCGGCACCCACAGTGGGCCGGACCGCAGTGGGCCGGGACCCGCAGTGAGTGGGCGGCACCCGCAGTGGGCCGGGACCCGCAGTGAGTGGGCGGCACCCACAGTGGGCCGGACCGCAGTGGGCCGGGACCCGCAGTGAGTGGGCGGCACCCGCAGTGGGCCGGACCGCAGTGGGCCGGGACCCGCAGTGAGTGGGCGGCACCCGCAGTGGGCCGGACCGCAGTGGGCCGGGACCCGCAGTGAGTGGGCGGCACCCGCAGTGGGCCGGACCGCAGTGGGCCGGGACCCGCAGTGAGTGGGCGGCACCCACAGTGGGCCGGACCGCACTGGGGCCGGACCGCAGTGGGCCGGGACCAGCAGTGAGTGGGCGAGATCCGCAGTGAGTGGGCGGCACCCGCAGTGGGCCGGGCCGGCGGCGGCGGGGAGGACGCCCTCTGGAGCACGCGCACCTACCTCGTTGCAGACACCACCCTGGATGAAAGGACGGCCCAAGACGAGGGACCCGGCTCCCACTGCAGCGAGGACAGCAGGTGGACAAACGTGGAGAGCCGTCCCAGGGAAGCGCTGTGAATAGCGGCCGCGAGTCAGCAACGATGTCCGGGGCGGGCGCCTGGTGATAAACTCAATGACAAACGACAGGGAGTGGAAAAGGCGATTCGAGTAAAGGGAGAGATACTCTGTATTACTGTATTGGAAAATTTGCTCTTGTACGGGTATTAATTTTTTTCCAGCTAAACGTATAAACTTAACTAATTCACAATAAAAACCATCCAGGGGCAGCACTGGCCCGCGGCTGGAAGTGGGGGGCAGGACCCCCACGGGCAGCCTTACTCAGCTGTCTTTAAAGGTCGCGCTTTTCAGAAACACCGGTACCAAAAATTCCCCCGGTGCGCCCGCAGTGACACCGCCTGACAATGTAATTAGGTGTCGTTAGTATTTCATTGTTTCCGCTTGGGAGACAATGTACGAAGCACTATACTTCGTTTTTGAACTCTCAAAAATAGTCACTTCAGGGAAGTGAGTGGATGAACTAAAAGCACTTAGCTGAGACCCTTGCGTTACTAGGTGGTGTGTCCAAGATGGGAACTTAGTCCTGTTGGAGTCCGGAGCCCCTGCGTCCTGGGATGAGTCTGGAAATGAAGGCGACCGCATGAGGAGGACCACGTGTGACACGCAGAGGGCTTGAGCACCAGGCGGGTGGTCAAAGGCCAGCCGGGCTCTGGTGGAGTCTCAGGAAAGTCCCAGGAAGAATGAATCAGGCATCCATAAGCCTGGGTCCTGGAGTCAGCTGCCATTCAGAGAGCCTTTCCAACACAGGCTTAAGTGATGAAGATGGTTTGTCCCGGGATGTGTCTTTGAGGGTCTCCTGGTTTTCCCTCAGGGTCACTCTTTTTTGTTTGTTTTTTTATTTCATCCTCACCCACTGATATTTCTCCATTGATTCTTAGAGAGAGTGGGAGGAAGGGAGAGAGAGAGAAACATCAACTGGTTGCCTGCCCGGTGATGGGGACCATGGATCTAACCTGCATGGAGGGGGTTATGGGGGTGGTGGCTGGCTGTGTATCAGGATGGTTGAGAAGGTTTTCCTGAGAGTGACACCTCAAATCACTTTTCAGCCTAAAATAAAACCAGGTCTGTGATTCTCAAGGTCATATGTTGCCTGGCCAGTGTGGCTCAGTGGTTGAGAGTCAACCCATGCACCAAGAGTCACCAGTTCAATTCCGGGTCAGGGCACATGAGGCGGCCAATCGATGTTCTCTCTCATCGATGTTTCTATCTCTCTCTCCCTGTCCATTCCTCTCTCTCTAAAATCGATAAAGAAAAAATTTTTTTAAGTAAATAATAAAGCCCTGGCCAGTTTTCTCAGTGGTTAGAGCATCAGCCTGCAGTCCAGGAAGACCCGGGTTCAGTTCCCGCCAAGGGCATGTACTTTGGTTGCAGTTTGTCTCCAGCCCTGGTTGGGGTCGTGTGGGTGGCAACCACTCGATGTGTCTCTCTCACATCGATGTTTCTCTCTCTTCCTCTCTCCCTCCCACTCTATCTGAAGATAAATGCAAAAGTGTCCTCGGGTGAGGATTAAAAATAAATAAATAATAATAAACGTCATATGTACATGGACAGTTCCCAGTGTATAACCAGCCAGCTTCACTTGTCTCCTGAAGTTTGGGGCTTTACAGTTGATCCTTGAACAACACATGGGTTACGGGTGCTGACACACACACACCCTCCCTGCTCAGTTGGAAATCTGCATATCACTCTGACTCCCCACGAATTAACTTGTACCTCAGTATCCACCGGGGATTGGTTTCAGATACCCCTCCCCACCCAACAGATACCAAAATCATCAATGCTCAGGTTTCCTATATAAATTGGTGTAGATCAATGCATCCACAGACTCCCAACCACAGATCAGAATAGTACTGGTACTTATTGAAAATAGTCCACATGTGCCCTGGCCAGTTTGGCTCAGTGGTTAGAGCATCGGCCTGCGGTCCCAAGAGACCCGGGTTCGGTTCCCGCTAAGGGCATGTACCTCGGTTGCAGTTTGTCCCCGGCCCTGGTTGGTCGTGCGGGTGGCAGCCACTTGATGTGTCCCTTTCACGTTGATGTTTCTCTCTCTCTCTCTCTCTTCCTCTCTCTCCCTCCCACTCTACCTGAACAAAAAAAAGAAAGAAAGAAAATAGTCCACATGTAAGTGGAACTGCACAGTTTAAACCTGGGTTTTCAAGGGCCGACTGTATGTTCAAATGCCTAATTCTCCACTTAGTAGTCTAATATCTAATAGGCATCTTAAACATAACTCATACAAAACAAGTGTAAATGTTTACCCTTCAGATATACTCCTAGAATCTTTCTGAGTAAATGCAAATTTCATCATCTCAATTGCTCTGTGTCTCAAAAGTCTTGGTGTCTCGTCGCACATCTAATTCAGCAAATCCTTTGAAACGTATCTAGAATCTTACCACTTAGCACCTGATACCACCACCCTGGTCCAGCTGTATTATTTCTTGAGCCTTCCCACTGGTTTTCCTGTTCCCACCCAGAGCAGCAAGTGGAGAGGCCGTATGTCAGGTCCTATCACTGAGCCCAGACCTTTCAGACACTTCCCATCTCAAGAGTAAGAGCCTAATTCCTAACCTTCCTCTTTCTTGCCCCTCATGCTCTGTTTCAGCCCCTCTGACCTCCTCACCCTCCTGTCAACCCATCAAGTGGTCTTGCCCCTCAAGAGCTTTCCACCCGGGCCTCCTTCCTGATAACCACATAGTGCTGGCTCTCACCCCACACAGATTCTGCTCTGATGTTACTCCATCAGAGGTACCTTCCCAGCTGACCAGCAACTGCTGCCCTCATGCTACTTATTTTCCTTATCACCTGACACAAGCCCCACATCTGTCAAACTCCCTACTTGTTTACCCACTGCCTTAGAGTGGGAGCCTGATCTGCTTATCCTCAGCTTTTCCCACTGCCCTGGGGTCCTCAGTGGGCCTGAGGTGCAGTCATCGTCTCACTTTGCCAGGTGCACTGCTGGAAACCGGGCTTCCACGTAGTGTCCTTGGGGCACTGTCATACACTGGGGTTGCTGGGGAGGACTCACGTGGGGCCAAGAGATTTCGTTTCAGAGGTCACTGGATACATAGTCCAGCTGCCTTTCCCAGGATTTTCAGGCAAACAGAAACAGCTTCTGCTGCCACAGACCTGCTGACTTCCATGCCTTGGAGGTCTTACAGGTGCTGTGGGGAACGGAAGGCTTGTGAGCACCATGACACTCTTCCCTCTCCCTGCAGCTCTGCTTGCCTCCTCAGGACCACTGCAGAGACCCAGTGATGGCTGCCCAGCAGCTTCTTCCTGGTGAGCCCCAGGTGAGTGTCCTCATGGAGACACAGCTCTGTGGCCAAGGCAGGAAATTTCCAAGGACGTTGAATGCCAGAGAGGAAAATCTGAACATGGGAGGGATATTTCCAAGAAAACTGATTTTGAAGAGATGAGTAAAGCGTAGGGAAAATTAAAGAATTGCTATAGAAAATATGCAATAGAAGGACCTCAGAAATCCTCCCCAAAAAGCAGTTTCAGGCCAGTGACAGACACCACAGAAAACCCCTGCTGAGGAGAATGGCAAGAATTTCTGGGCTGTTGCAGTGAACAGCATCACAGCCTAATGGCCGGACAAGTGTCTGCAGTGGACAGTCCCCACACCAGTGTATCATGTGCAGAAAACACTCAACAGAGTAGGGTCCTTGTTAACCTCCAGGGGTTTTGTCTAGGAGGAAGCCGTCAGATGAGTTTATGAAAATGCCCAGTCGGAGTTCAGTTCTTCGTGTCAGAGGGCTAACAATCCGGAAAAGCCTCCTGAGCATCGTGAGTGTGGACACACTTTCAGTCAGAGCAGAGCTCACACTCAGCAGTAGGGCTCACCCAGGACAGGAGCTCTGAGTGGTGAGTGTGGGAAAGCCCCCTGCACGTCACACTCACACTGGAGAGGGGAACGCTGTTCACACTGGGGACAAACCTCATGAGTGTTATTGGTGTGGGAAAGCCTTTCGTCATGGCTCTGACCCGATTCATCATCAGAGAATTCACAGCAGAAAGAAACCTCACGGGTGTGAGGAGTGTGGGAAAGTCTTCAGTTGTCGGTCACACCTCATCCAGCAACAGAGAGCTCGTTCTGGAGAGAAGCCTTCCGACTGTGCTGAGTGCGCAAAGCCCTTGGTGTGTGATTCCTCCCTCGTTCAACATCTAA